CAGCTCGACTTCAGATCAGAGAAGTTATTCCTCCCATTCATGCCCTTCTGGTTCACGCTATTGTTACCCACATGGGCATTGAAGTCCCCAAGCAGAATAAATGAGTACCCAGCTGGCACACATTCCAGCAACCTTCTAAGCCAAGGCTTCCAAGAAGGCTGGATACTCTGGACAGCCATTTGGCGCCTAGGCACAAACAACCGTCAGAGCCCATCCTACTCACTTGAAGCTGGGGGGAAGCTACCCTCTCATCTACTAGCAAAAACTCAAACACACATGCAGCAAGTCAGATGGCTAGGAGTAGACCCATACCAGCTCGGCACCTCTCACCATGGACAACTCCAGAGTGGAATAAGATCCAGCCCCTCTCAAGGAGATTGGTTCCAGAACCCATGCTGTGTATCGAGGTGAGCCCAACTATATCTAGTTGGTACCTCTCAACCTCACACACAAGCTCAGGCTCCTTCCCTGCCAGAGAGGTCACATTCCATGTCCCAAAAGCCAGCTTTGGTAAGCTAGGGTCAGAGTGCCAAGGCCCCCTCCTTCGGCCACTGCCCATGGCATCATGCACCCGACTCAAATGGCCCCTGTTGCAGGTGGTGGGCCCACAGGAAGGCAAACCCTTCAAGCTGAGCCCAACCAGGCACCATGGGTAGAGACCCGGTCACCAGGTGCTCGCCAACAAGCCCCTCCCCCAGGCCTGGCTCCACGGTGGGGCCCCGGTAACATATGTCTGGGCAAGGAACGACAAGGTTCCTTATTTTCTTTTGTCCATATAAGTCTTCTGAACCACTCTTTGTCTTCTTACCTGTCATCTAAAACCAGTCTGTCTTGGGAGACCCTACCTGAATGAAAAAAATAAGGCAAATGAATGTTTACATTCACACATGCAACACGCCTACATGGTGAAGAACACTACTGTATGTGTAGTGTTGTGTAAAATGCAGTACAAACGCATTTGTCTTTCTATGATCTCCTTGATCTTACAGCATCAGAGGCTCACTGCCCACTGAGCATTTTCAGCTGGAGGCCTAGGTCTGTCTGAAAATATGCTCTTTATCTTAAATACACACTTTTATGTATGAAAACTCACAAGGATACAAACACATCCATTCACTTTTCATGCCCACGCATCGTACCACATTGTCCACGTCGGTTTCTTCAGTCTTACTATTACTGGCAAAGATGTTTGTACAAAACATTCCCAGTCAAACACTTCCACTTTAACTCCTCCACCTGTCCTTGAAAATGTTTATGAGACTAAATCATTGAGTGTTAGGGTGAAATAGAGAACACAGATTGTACTTCAGCACAGACATCGAAGGTTTTGTTTATCTACTTGAATTTATTTTAAACAGCCATGTATAGGAACCACTGCTTGTAAATATTTTGCCATGAGTACGAATGATAATATAAATTGTTGGAAGGATTGTTGCGAGGATGAGAAAGAATAAGAGAAGTGTGAGTGGGTGGCTTAATGGCTGCATGAAAGGTGCAGGAGATTATTAAAGAGATAAGGCTATAAAACGTGAGAAGGAATAAAAGAAAGCCATGAAGGAACTGCAGAAGTTAAATAAAAGGCTGTTCATACCAAGCAGAACTTATTATTGCCCACTGCTGAAAAGCAAAGGTGGACAATATTTTTGACCGTTTCTTATTGTGTTTGTATGTCTGTCAGTTTTTGAAATATCTCATGGATCACTGGACAAACACAGCTTGCAAAATTTTATAGATGTACATTTTTAACTCAATTCAGGATGGCTGCCCTAGTCAACTCAACTTAAAAGACCACAACAATAGCTATAAGTCAATCATTTTTACAGATTTTGAGTTAAAATGTGGCATGATAGGAGCTGAGTGTCATCCTTAACACATCTTTTGAGATCTTAACATTTTGAAATTCACTATTTGGAGTAAACACTATCAATTAGTGAATTATCTCAGGAACATTTTGATGGATTTTATTGAAACTTTAAGGAAAATCACAGCCATAATAATACCTCCTTTCATGCCAGAGTCTGAACCTGAAATCATCTTATGAAGAGATGGTTTTATAGCCGTTTTAGTGAAACCTCGTAAATGGCATACACAATCTCATGAGATTTCACAAGATGTGTTAGCACTCAGAGTATATCATAGGATGTCTTTCAGGTATTGCTGTGTAGAAACAAATTTAATATATGTGAAACAAGTTATAAACATGTTTGTGTTGATGAATATCAATTAGCTTTGGTGTCCATTTTGAATTGGCTTGACTATGAATGTAGATAGCCTATAGATGTTCATGCAATCCAAGTGTTATTAAAATCTGCCCGGTGGTTAATAAGATATTTCACTTAAAGACAGTCTTGACTAAAAGGTAATGCTAATATTTTATCAAAGCTGCAGTGCAATGTTTGAATTGGGGATCACTCTTAGCTACTGTATTTTGATAACAAACTTAAAGTCAGTATCTGCAAAAATAACTGTTAAAGTTGTTTTTGTGTTGGTTATTATTGATTAGAATCGGTGATCATCTTGAATAGGACTTACTACAAAAGTTTTCAAATGTAGATGAACATCCAATGATTACTTTTTGGCAGTTTCATTACAATACATTTAATGGTACGTTAGATAATTTGCCAACAGACCAACAGAATTAACACCTAAATTTATTGGCAATAATAAGTATTTTTATTATTACTAAAAATGATATTTTCTAGAATTGTGCCGCTCAAGGTGGCTGCATGTTGGAGCAGCTCTGTTACTTTCATTCTGAAATTTTGCTTTTGGAAACGTTAATTCCTCTTTTTCTGGATGTAAATCATATTTTTTGGATGATTGTTTCCTCTGGTATCAGATGCTGTGCAGCTGGAACAATTTTTACTGAAACTTTTTTAGTTTTAGACATTTGTTATGATGCGTAACCATGGCAACAAGGCAGTTTTCTACAACCAACAGCAGCTGATTAACATCTCAAATGCTCAAATTATATCTCAACTACAGCCCCAAATCTCAGATGAATTGAAAAGGATGTTCTGTGGACGCATTCTCATCTACCTGTCAGCTGTGCTCGAGTGCCTGACCACTGAGATCATGGAACTAGCAGGAAACACGACTCATGACAGCAGAAGGACAGGATCGTCCCTCGGCACCTACAGTTGGCAGTCTGCAGCGACGAGGAGCTCAGCAGACTGCTGGGAGGAGTGGCCATCGCTCTGGGAGGAGTTCTGCCCGGCATTCAGGTGGTCCTACAGCCCAGGGAAAACGAGAGGCCAGCCGAGTCTGGGTGGACGGATCGGACGGCGTCTGCAGCCAGTTTCTTAGGATCCACTGTGGGATGGACTTTTACAAGTGATCCGCCCAGCCTACAGTCATCAGTATCTATAACATCTCTTAATGAAATGAGGATAACGAGTTACAACAACAAATAATTTCCCTTTGGAATTAATAAAGTATTTTTGAATTTGAATGTAAAAAATATTGTTTCATGTGTTACATTCAAAGTGTGTATAGTTAATGATGCTAAGCTAATACTACACCCCGTTTAGTTCAATATTTTTCGAACTAACTGAGTTATAACCATTTTTGTGTCTACCAAGAAAAGTTGTCAGTGTTGGACAACTTGTATTGAGTTATCCTGATGCATGTTCAATAATCCAGGTAGTAATCTCTTAAATATATTCAGTTGTAGATGTACATTTAGCAATCATTTTCTGAAAGTTTCACCACAATCCATTTAGTTGTTCATAAGAGTTGTTCCTGACAAATAGAGTTGTCTCCTATAGTTATTGGTAAACACTTACAAACAGAACTTGCTCAATCTCTCAGCACCCAGAGTTAAAGTTAGAGATCAGTATCAGTTGTTACACAAAACTTGAATTCATTATATGTCAAATTAACTGTTATTTAGCCATTTTTGGTTTTGCTATAGTTGCTCAGCAGTGTGTGGCCATATTGAATAAGATTGACTCCAAAAGTTATTCAATTGGATATACTGTATACCAAAACAAATGGTTATGTTTCTTTTAAGTTCAGTCAGTGGTTAATTAAATATTTTGCTAAAGTAATAAATGTATTAAAAGACAATACTTTTATCGCTTCTTTGCCTTTGGCAGTGAGAGATAATCATTGACTGTAAAGATAATGAAAAGCTTTTGGAGCCAACCACTTTTAAAATGGCTGCCACAACAAACTCACCTTAGATAACACTTGTAGTTCAGTCAGTTTTACAGATAATAAGTTAAAGTTTGGTGTAGCAGTAGCTGAGAGTCATTCGCAGCACATACTCATTATAAAATCTAGCATAACTTTTTTTTTCAGGGTTTGACCAAAATGGCTTTAGCTCTGTCGCCATTTCTCAAAATTTCATGCTAAGCCTCTAATATTTTTTATTTATTTACATTATTCTCTTAAAGTAATTTGTCCTTTTTTCTTTCTATTTGTTCTTTCCTCAGCTCAAACTGAACTTCACAGATTTTGGATCCGTCCTCGGAGAAACTACAACCCAACACAAAAGCAAGATTTATTGCTGAATGCCGTTTTTAAAACAGCGCCATGGCTGACTAACTGGCAGTGATTGGGTGGGTGCTGAAAAAGCAGGCAACAAGCTATGGATATGAGTGATCCAATTTCCAGCTCTAAATTAGGAACATTAAAACTCTCCATTCAGTCATGCGGGGAATGTGGCTGGTAACCAAACCAGCAACTCCAGACTGTCTGGCTCAGTGCACATCCTGGGATCACGTCTTCTAATGGCTTCTTGGCAGAAAATGGGAGGTTCACACCTCAAACCACAATCAGTGGCCATTTGCAGCTAACAAGACCTTACATCAATGTAATATAATCTCTCCTCTATCCACTGCTTCAATCTATCAGATATCCTCCTCTAAAATATCTCTCCTATGCTGAGCACATTTTTTTCTATCACTGTTTTGTTGCATATTCCAATGAGGAGGGTGGAAAAACTAAAGGAATCCATCATCTTTCAATCTTGAAGAAAGTGTCTGTTTCACTGTGGAATGGGAGGAACAGCAAGGGCTCTTCTGGGTGGGTTTGGCACCACCACCTCCTCCCTGGAGGTTGGAGGTCGTATAGGCTGGCCAAGCAACAATCCTTTGGATCTTAATCAAACTCTGCCATGGGGAATAGGAGGCAGCAGTGGATTCGTAGGTGCGGCCGCCATGAGTTTAGTTTTGGACAACTCGACTACACAGGAGTCTGTCACCAGAACTGTGATCAAGGAGAAAAACTGGCCGGCTCTCCTGATACTAGTTATCATTGCACTGACCGTCGGTGGGAACATTCTGGTGATTCTGGCAGTGTCACTGGAAAAAAAGCTTCAAAACGCAACCAACTTCTTTCTGAGGTCCCTGGCGGTAGCTGACATGCTGGTGGGCATCCTAGTCATGCCAATATCCCTCATCAATATCCTGTATGGTGAGTCATGCATGCACAAAAACATCCAAGATTAAACATTTCTTCATATTTATTACTTTAAGACCGATAATGCTTTTGCCATTGTTTTTGTGTGTGTGTTTGTTTGTACCATTAAGAAACTCTCATGAAACACAGGTTTTAATGAAACATTCAAAAAGTAGTTACTGGGTTGTCATCTTTGGTTGTCATCACACTCTGCCACACTTACAGACAAGTATATCCTAATTAACACGTTTCATTGAAGAAAAAATTATGATCAGACAAAGTGTTTCTTTACAGTGTCCTACTTTAATGGAGACAAATGTATGCCTATTAATCACTGCCAATATTTAACCGGTCTTCTCAGTGGATTTCTACCACTGATCTCCAACACACACCCACTCACCAGCTGCTGCCAGCACACTGTGACAAGTGTACTGTGATGATTTCAAATTATTTTCCAGAGCAATTACTTAAATGATTTTTGCTTCAGTGAGATGCAGCACACTGATGTGATACAAATTACTAGAGTTTCAGTGTATGTCAGCTTGATAACTGTAATATTATCCCAGCCAACCACCACTGTTTCTGCTCCATGGTTTCTGAGCTCAAGTTCTGTATGAACACTCACTTTAGTGCTATAAAAGAATGAATTTTGTTTTTAACATTTTTAATTTCAAAATAAAAGGGTCTATTTTCTTTTTCAGACTTAAATAAATAAAAATACAAAAAAAAGGTCTAATGAAGGAATATCAGCCATGTCTCCACCATAACACCTCAAAGGAGCCTTCCTGTAAATGTCACAATCATATAAGTGATCATGGAGCTCCTAGTGTGCAAGAAAACCCTTTTCACTTGTGTACACAAGCACATGTCAACCATTTTCTTGCTTCAGTGATTGTAATCATTGTCACTGTTGACATTCCTGACTACCAAGAGCTCAATTTTAGATACGTCAGCTTGTGGCTTTTTGCTGATCTTGATCCGAGTAACTTCTGTAGTCAGACAAAAAGGTCAGTTTTTATGTATATCAGAGAAAATATTGATTGTTATGTTTTACTAAATATTTTCTCAAGGTAAACTATATGCTTTTATTTCTTTTTGATCATTAAAGCTAAACATGTGTCAGCTAAGGGCTTATTATTGACTGATAAGTGGTCTGATCCTTTGCTTAGTTGGGTTCTTCATTTTCCATAACAGTAAGATAGCAACACTTGAAACTGACAGAGGGCTAACGCCAGAAGTCCAAAACAGTTGTTGGTCTCATGGTGGCAACACATGTCCTATTAAATAAATCCAATGGTTTAAAGCCACTTGGTAAATGTAGTGTTCACTATTTTATAGTCACCAAGAAGGCATGCATTATGTAGGGTAGTATCTCAGTGGGCTGCAACTGTTCAAGACTATCTAACAAGGTTGAGGCAGGTCCTCTGGACAGATTCAAGGTCAAGGTTTTCTTCATTGTCATTTGCATCTCACGTGGTACATGTCGTGAATTCTTCTTTGTTGAAACATTTCGTCTTTTATCCAAAAGTCTTCTTCAGTCTGAGGAGCTGCAACAAACTCAGTCTTATAAGCAGCTGCTCATAAGACTATTGCAGTTCCTCAGACTGAAGAACTCTTTTGGATAAAAGACGAAATGTTTCAACAACGAAGAATCTGTCTAGAGGCCCTGACTTAACCTTGTTAGATTTATCTACCTGGATTACTGAGCATGCATCAGGATATTTTAAACCACTTTGTTGGAGGCTACTTGTTGAGTAAAAATTCCAAGTAAAAGATCAAATTTTCCTATGTGCGTTACAAATGTTTGTGACCAAGCAACCAATAAGCCATGCAATTGCATTGCCCTAAACAATGCTTGAAGGCCATTTACTTTCATTGCCCATATTGTACCCACCTCAGTCCACTTTGCCCCCACTATGGCAACTGCCATTATGATTGAAAATTTGATCATTAAGCACTGTGGCATCATATGCTTTTAGTCAAAGAGTTCTTGTGCTTTGAGTCTGTTGTAATGCCTAATAGCCTGGACCTGGAGGTCAACTTTAATGTGGCCTGAACTGCAAGGTATACCTCCACAAATTTTGTATCAAAACATTTGGCTTGGCAGCTTGATGTGCACTATTACATTTAGTGACATTTCGAGTTACCATGGCGATGGACTTTGCTAACAAAGACACCATTTTTCTCATTGAAAAACACTGACAGAATGAACAGCCTCTAACTGCCTCAGTGAGGTCACATGACCCAGAGTGGAGCGGTATCTGAACAAAACTCAGTAAGTCATCGAACAAACTCTTCCTACCACCACATCGTTCTGGCTTGGCTGTAGGAGTTATGTTTTTTCATGAGATGCCTCTGAAGGCAGAATGTGAACATTTCACTCCTATTTTTCACCATTATAAAACTGACAACTTTTTGGTTCAGATCAAAATATGAGGAGTGTTTTAACTCGTCATATCTATGATGTAGAGATGTAAAAATGTGAAAAGTCACATGAGTGTGGTCCAATGTCTTGTCTCACTCACACTTTAAGAATTTCTTCTATAGACCATATAGTTTTCACACAGCAGCTGTTTTTTTGAAGCAGAATTTTGCCCCATCAGCCATTTTTCTTCATGCATCTGTCACATCTGTATTACTGTACCCTGCTCAAACACACACACACACCTCTGACTTGACTTCAAGAACACACATTTAGAAATACATGTAAACTTGGATGGTCTTTCTGTTAGCAACATATCTCATGAACAGCTTGTTGGATTTTGGTTGAAACTCACAGTAATCATCATGTGTATCTCTAGAACTGATTACCTTTTGGAGCCATTTTGATTCAATATGGCTGCCACAGCTACCTCAGAAATCACAAAATTGACTACAACTGAGTCATTCTTTATTGAGAAGAAATGTAGTATGGTTGTAGCTGAGAGCAAACCTCAACACATAGTACTGTCAAATCAAAATTTTAAAGTTGCCGCAACTTAGCATTCTCCATCAGATTTTCTCCAGAGACTTTAGTTTAGTATTCTTTGGCTAAATTTAACTTCTTTCTTGCTGCGTTTAACTGCTAGCTATGCTCTGCTGGTTTTAGCTTTTGTTCTGCTACTTTTAGCTTGTGCTCTGTTCAATCTAACTTGCATTTGCTAATTTTAACTTCTGTTCTGCTGATTTAACATTGACCACTCAGCTTTAGCCCCATCAGCTAATTTCAGCAGTCATTCAGCACTCAGTAGTCACATTGATTTATTTTTTTATTTTTTGTATAAAATACAATTTCTCTAGGTATTACTGATGAGGGGACAGCACTGTGGCACAGTTGGTAGAGCTGTTGCCTCTCAACGAGAAGGTTGCCGGTTCAAATTCCAACCTGGGACCTTTCTGGGTGGAGTTTGCATGTTCTCTCCGTGCATATGTGGGTTTTCTCCAGGTACTCCAGTTTCCTCCCACAGACCAAAAACATGCATGTTAGACTGATTGGTAACTCTAAATTGTCTCTAGGTGTGAGTGAGAGAGTGAATGGTTGTTTGTCTCTATGTGTCCCTGTGATGGACTGGAGGCGTGTCCAGGGTGACACCCGCTTCTCACACTGTGGTAGCTGGACATGGGCACCAGTGAACCCCTTGACCCAAAAAGGAAGAAGCGGGTAAAAGATAATGGACAGGTTATTGATAAGCCTAGAAGATATGGACATCCAGTAGGTTCAGACAAATTCACCCCTTTTTTTATTTCTTTCTCGCCTGCCCTTCATTTTTTTTGTATCCAAACTCTGCCAAACTTGGATCCCCAGCCAATCGCTCTGTAGCTGTCAAGAATCCCTCAGGAATACTAAGCAGGACAGGGAGGGTTGATTGCTGCTTAATGGGCCACGGATGGTCAGCAGACACACTCGCTCGCTCACTCTGTGTGTTTGTCAGTTCAAGCTGCAGCTACTGATTGCTCACTGTTGTAATCAGAGTTTTGCACAAACACAAACACACACACACGTTGGTCTTTCAGGTTCACAAATTGAGGCTGAAACAGGCCGAGACAAATAGGCAGTGTTGCTCTCAAGCATTCATTCGTACATCACCGAAGACCCTTAGAAAGACACACTTGAATAGAGTCGAATCTATACGTTGAGTGGTATCCATCATTTCGCTGCTAGATGAATGCATTGATTGGCGAGGGCAACTGACAGATGAGCCTGAGACACACATACTAAATACAGTCCCATTTCTGAAGGCTCCGACTCTATTTAACTTGACAATGAATAGTTCTGACTGTGGAAGCAGCAGTAAGCAATGTTCACAGTAACTGCAATCACATTAAAACATGAATGGCTTTTTTTTTTTTTTATCCTTTATTTATCCAGGTAGTCTCATTGAGCCACGAGAACTAATTTTCAAGAAAGACCTTTTTCGGGAGCAGATGGGGGTTAAGGGTCTTGCTCATGGGCGCAGAGTGGGGCGAATGAGAGTGGAGGCGGGTGTGGGTGCTTCACCTACCCCACCCACATTTTTGATGTTGTCGGTACCAGGGCTTGAACCGGCGATCTTCCGATCACAGGCCAACCTTCTCTAACCTCTGCGCCACCACTCCCACCACTGGTCAAGAATTAGTTGGTGCTTATTTTGTGTACTTTTATAGACTCCACACAAAGTGTACAAATATTCTGTTTGTCTTTTAGAAAAGACTAATCAAAACTGAAAGGTTTTAATAACCAACATTGGTGGATAATTAGTAATGACTCATTATATAAATAATGAGCTAAATGCTCCTGAATACAAATATTTAATCAAGTCAGTTTTTTTAATTACAAATTCTGAAAGTTTTGTTGTTGTTTTGTTGCCTCAAAAGTAAAGCATGACCTTATGTTGTAATCTATATCGTGCTCTAACAGTATCTGTATGCAGCATGTGTGATAGGGACAGAGTATAGAGAGGAGACGATCCCAAAGGAGGCAAAAGCTCCTGCAGTCTATAAGAGCACCTTTTTATTTTTATTAAAACCCTACGATTATGCAGCACGGTGGTGCAACT